TATTGCTTTTTGTTTGATTGTTTGCCTGGTATTAATCCCTGTTTATCTGGGCGTGGTTACTGGAGAGCATGTGATCTAGTCTTTCTGTTTCCTTCTTACCATTTTTATTGTCATCAATCAGTATTAAAGGTGCTAGGCCAATGATAGCGAATCTTTTAGAGACCAAGTGCCCAAACTGCACCCAAAACCCACTTACGCATTGTTGGGTGCCAGGTGGGTGCGGCCCATTGGGTGGGCGTGGCTGCGGTGGTAACGGCAGACTGGGTGGGACTAAAAAGTTCAATCAATCAATTCCAACTTTGCAAGATCTTTTTTTCCCGTGAGAAGTTGAAATTGATTGATTGAACCTTTTTTTTTTTTGCACACGGCAGAGGCCTAAAGCAAAAAGGTTTTATAAAACCCAGCTGAAGGCCTAGGACTGGGAGAGGGCTCTGAGTGCCGCCTCTGGCACCCGTGCCATAGGTTCGCCACCACTGTGCTAGGCCAAGGGTAGGCAACAGCACAGGTGGCTCAGAAATTCTGGGAGTTGAAGTCCACGAGTCATAAAAGAGCCAAGGTTGCCTACCCCTGTGCCAGGCCAATTGAAAAAAGGAGCACATAGGGTTTAACCAAAGGTTGACTCTGGATAGCTGTACTCTATATTCCACCTGGTATTTGAGACAGAATGGGAAACTGCTCTTAAAAATTCAAAATTGCATGAGCTCCAGTGGAGTGAATTTGCAGAAAGGACCCAACTTGTCTCCAATAGGAAATCTTGCCAAGAATATTGCAGAAACTTGTCCCAGCAGTCCTCTGAAAATCCGACACGACTGAATGGAAGAAGAAAAAAAAAAGATCAAATGCGGACGTAAATCTCTGAAGCCTGACTGTTAGATATTGGCATGTATTGATGATTGTTGCAGCATCTTGGGGTCATGTGATCACCATTTGTGACCTTCCCAGATGGCTTCCGACAAGCGAAGTCAACGGGGGAAGTCGTTTCGCTTAATGACTGCAGTGACTCACTTAACAGCTGCAGTGATTTGCTTAACAATTGTGGCAAAAAAGGTTGTAAAATTAACAACCGCTTACCTTAGCAGCAGGAATTCTGGTACCGACATTGAGAACTACCTGTATGAAGTAAGACCATATTTTTCAAGTAGTTTTTTCCCCCCCTTTGGGCCAACTGATGTAGAATTCTGTCAAATGGCAACATACCGTATATACTCGAGTATAAGCCGAGTTTTTCAGCCCATTTTTGGGGCTGAAAAATGCCCCCCTCGGCTTATACTCGAGTCAGCGGCGGCGGCGCGGCAGCNGGCGGCAGCGGCAATGAGCGCGGCGGCGGCGGGAACGAACCGGGCGGCGGCGGCAGCGGCAATGAGTGTGGCAGCGGCTCGCCGCTCGCTCCCCCCCGGCGCTGTGCTCCGCCTGCTTGCCCAGCTCATTGCTGCTGCGGACGCCGCCGCCAGGCAAGCAGGCGCAGCGCAGCGCCAGGGGAGGGGGAGCAAGCGGCGAGCCGTAGCCAAGCGCGAGGGGGAATGCCAGAAGCCTCGCGCGAAGGGGGGAGGCCTGGCAACGCTGCGCCCTGCCGGGCGCTCACTGACAGGGCCGGGGGGGCCGAGGCGGCCAGGGAGGAACAGCCAAAATGCCCCCTCGGCTTATGCGCGGGTCACCAATTTTTCCCAGTTCTCTGTGGGAAAATCGGTCCCTCGGCTTATACTCGGGTCGACTTATACTCGAGTATATACGGTAGTCAACCTACTGAGAATAATGCAGGTGATAATTACAATTCTCTTACAGTCATACTTATGATCAGAATGAGAGTGCCGCCTTAGATGACAAATGTTGGGAAATGAAAGCAACTTTCCCTGTTTGTCATTCCTTCTGATTCAACATATCCAGGAATTCATTGATCACGTGCTATGTGGTGACTTTACTACTGCTGCATTACACTTAGAGAGTTGTGAATGTGCCCTGATGGAGCATTTTACAGTGTATCATATAAGCTTCTCTATGTCACAATTATTTGTGTATTTTATTATTTAGCAATAACAATTATTTAGCAATAATTTTACTGCTGTCTGCTCTCTTACAGTATTATTGAAACAATTTTAACTCCCTGCCTCATAAACTTCTTGGTATAGGGAGATGTGCCATCTTATGTATACATATGCATCTTTTCTCATTTGACTTTAAACATGAAATTTATAAATATGTGTTTGAAGAATTAAAATTATTGCTGTGTATTAGTATAGTGCATTCTTTGAAAATGGTTTAGAAGTATTTTTGACTTCACATCAGCACAATACCTCTTTAACATTTATTAAAATAACTCCTTTTTTCAGGTATCCATACTAGCCTGAATATGGTTATGATTGTTGGAAAGATGGTTTACATTAAAAGTTAATGTAACTCTTAAAGCAATCACATCTTTTTTCAGGCTCACACAAAAGCCTGAAAACAATCAGGCTGTTTTAATTACTGTAACAACAGAAGAGTATTATTCTCAAATTAACTCCAAAGAACTTCTCTAGAATAATTTTCCAAGCATATACAGCGCTACTGTGGCGGGTCTATGACAACTTGCCACGGCCAACTCGCCACAGGACAAGTAATATTGAAGAAATAGTGAAATAGAATCATTAAAGAAATTATGCCAAAGGAAGGACAAAATGAAATGCGAATTTTATAAATTAAAATATTTATAAAATTATTTTAAATAATTAAATTGAATTTTTGCATTGTCCTATGGCAAGTTAGCCATTGGTGAGTTATTCCGCGGCAAGTTGGCCATGTGAGTTGGCAGCGAATTGGCCATGGCAAGTTGACCATGTTGAGTTGGCCATGGTGAGTTGGCTGCGGTGGGTTTTCCCATTCCCTACTGTGGGTATATGGAATTTTACTGCACCAGTCTCATGAGAAGAAACTGATTCCAGTTTAGAAAATGCCAGCAAAAGTGTACCTCAGCTACTTTGAATATAATAATAGGAAGTGACTTTAAATTATTGCTCATGAATTCTGAATGTTAAATCCGTATTGATCTTTATATCTTTATATCCACATATCAATGTGGATGTCCATGAGCTTTATAAGTAGTAGATTCTATAGCAAGTAAGATTAAAATCTATAAATAATAGCATTCTTACTGAAATATAACAGGAAGAAATATGATCATCATAAGAATCGATATGAGCATAGTGATAAGAATAAATTTGCAATAATATAAATTGCTTCATATTAATCTGCTCTATTATAGCATGTCATGATTAGGTCACTGAGCTTTCTAGTCAGGCTTACAAGAAAGAATTTGTTTCATTAAATCAATAAAATATACTATGACTAAGTAGACATATTTAAATTGAGATAATATCTGCTTTTTTCTGTGTGATTGTTTTGTGTTTGTAATGTGACATTTTTGTATCTATTACATATTGCTTTGTAGGACAGTTGATTTGGGTAACAATAATTTAATTATTCAGTTTTAAACTTGATTGATACTATAATATCCAGTGATGTAAAAAACATAGTCTCTCTCTCTCTCTCTCTCTCTCTCTCTCTCTCTCTCTCTCTCTCTCTCTCTCTCTCTCTCTCTCTCTGTGTGTGTGTGTGTGTAGATGCAGTTATAAATATAAGTATAGATCTAATCCTCAATTTAGTTCTAAACATTTTGCTTAATTAAATTTTAGATGCTGAAAAGGTAAATGCCTACACTGATTCTAAACCAACTCTGCATGTATTGGCTCAAAGTAGAAATGACTGAAAATTCTCAATTAATGAATTTGCTTCTGCCACAGCTTTTATGGCATAAACTGTTAGAGGAAAAAATGATATGAGAGAATAATGTAAAAAAAAAAGTAGTTCCTTATACAGATACTCAAAAGTGCAGGTTACTCATTTAATCTTTCGAAGGCAAATCTATAAAGTCAGTAGAAAAAGGAAAAATGTGTTTCATTAAGTGGTTCTAACAAAATGAAATTCAATGGTGAAAAAAGTAAGGTTCTACATTTAGACAAGAAAAACCAAATGCACAGGTATAGTATAGGTCAGTGGCGAATCTTTTAGAGACTGAGTGCCAAACTGCAACCCAAACCCCACTTATTTATCGTTGGGTGCTGGGTGGGCGTGGCTACCGGGTGGACGTGGCCGGGTGGGCATGGCCACCTCGATGTTGCTTGTGGGGAGGAATGCCTGTGGGGGCTGGGCATGGTTGGGGAAAATCCAGGGGGTCTCTTGCAGGTGGGACGGTGGACAGGAGGCTCGTCCGGCGTGAGACGAGGCAGGGGGCAGGGAGGGCTGCCATTTCCGTTGAGCATTTCTTGCAGACATTTCATGACCCAAACTAGGTAACATCAGCAGTGCCAGAAGAGAATGGTGTATGTGAAGTGGAGGAGAAGAAAAGAAGAGGAGGAGGAGGGTGGTTGTGGGTTCCTTGGTCCTCTCTGAGTTTTATGGCTTTGTGGTAGACGTCTCATGACCCAAACTAGGTAATATCATTAGTTCACTTATTACCCCACTTTGAGTCTTGAAAAGTCTGCAAGAAAACCACCATCCTCAGAGACAACCCCCCCCAAGGACCCTTCATTTTAACTCTGAGCCAGAAATATTCTCCTTGATTGGCATTCCGGACCATCTCACGGCAGAAGAACCTGCCTGGCAGAACTTCATTCCTCTTTCCCATGGGGCACATCCCAATGCCCCCATCCTTCCTCCATCATTTCCTGGACCAATGAAGTTTCTTGTAGTGCAGGAACAAATTCTCACAAAATAAACGTTGGCAATAGCAATAATGTTAGACCATCCAGTAGGAACTGTTTTTCATTTTATTTTCTATTGGCTTTTCTAAGTATTAAATACAGAATGACTTATTTTTAACCTTAAACTTCTTTTTTTAGTGAAATTACTATTCTTATCGTATAATGATTTTGGTCAGTAATTTTAACTATACTCTCTTTAAAACCAGTACATCATCTTCTCTCTATATTTACTGTTACTATTCTCTCTTTCCCCAAATATTGTAGACCTAATCCAGGCCACAAATGAGACAAATGTCAACATTCCACAAATGGCTGATACCCTCTTTGAGAGAGCGACAAACAGTAGTTGGGTTGTTGTCTTCAAAGCCTTAGTTACAACACATCATCTAATGGTTCATGGCAATGAGGTAAGCATTTTAGTCCTCAAAGCTAAAGCAAGGGATTGTTAAGAAAGCCTGTGTTTGTCTCATAGACTCTAAAAAAGAAAAAGTGACAGCAAGTAGTGAGATTATCTGATACACTATTAAGGCAATATAAAATATTTAGGTTATGTAGTGTTTTCTGAATGAAAGTTTCAGAGAATAAATGATCCACTCTGTTTACTGAAGGAGATAATTCCTACTTCAGCGTTTCATGCATCTAAAAGATATGCTGTGGAGATCGGGGATCATTTGAAATAGATTTTAGAGGATGTGGAAATTCAGGAATTAGTTAAGATGAATATCTTTGCATTAGGCATTTGGTCATGCAATGTTTGAATCCGCTGAAAGTGTTATTATGCAAAAATAACATCTCTATACTTCTCTGATATACAAAGAAAAGTGTTTTGACCTACATATATTTCATAATTTGTTAAAAGAGGCAACCCTTTTCATTTTCTTACAATGTATGTGTGTAGTTATGAACTGAGATCTCATGTTGTAATTTTTTTTACTTTGAATGTATGTCAAAATATTTGCTTCAGATCCTGTCTTTAAAGTTGTTTTTTTACAGAGTCTCCCTTATCAGTTTCAATAAATATCTGCTGATATCCCATATATGATCAGTTTTTGTCTAGTAAAGAAAACAAGTCCTTTATCTAAAACTTGAAGAGAGTGAGAACTAGTTTTATGTAAACTAATATTACTCTACATTGGTCAATTTTTTTGCTGTTTTAGAAACCTAGCATATAAATAGAATAGGGTCTCTACTTTTTTACTCAGATTATGGAGTGCTATTTTATTGTTTATTCTGAATAATTTCTTGTACTGTAAGAATAAAATGTGATCTTAAGTTTTCCTGAATTGGCTTATGTTCAAATGAAAACAATACTTTCTCCAGCATGAGGGATGGATAATCCACATGATTGGGTTTCCTGAAGTCCCTTGTACCCAATAAGACTAAGTCTGAGATAGCCACGCCTCTTGCCTGGTCGCACATGCCCAGTTCCGACTTAGTCTTCTACCCAGACAAGGCGTGTTGGTTCTTCGCTCCAGACTCAGGTTTTATTAAACTATTTTTCCTCTCAGT